CCGAGCCTCGCCGCCTCCTCTGCTCAGCTGGACCATTCCTCGCCGCTCGCCTGCTCCCCTCTGTCCTCTCCGCCCCACGCAGCCTGGCTGCTCAGGAAAACCTGCTTCCAGCCAGTCCCCCCGAGACACAGCACCCCTCACGGTGAGGAAACCCAGCCACTCCTGTAAACGTGTTTATCACCTCGGCGGAGAGTGGTTTCCGAGCAAAGTCCAGTCTGCTCGGAAACACCCAAGTCATCTGCTGGTCACGGGACCTCGGCTCAGAGGTGACACATACCCACGCACCAGGGCGGGCACAGCTGACCCAGCTACTGCGGAGCCGGAGTGGAGTCTGTGAGTCCCCCAACCTACTGCTGCCTCTGGTGGATTACCTACTAATAAGTATACAATGACCTCCTCCATATGCCATCCCTCACCTACTCACTCGCTGGGGACTCTGTCACAGGCCCCTTTTGCCCTGCCCTCTCCACCCTGGACGCCACACAATAGAATTCAACCAAGAGCCGCCACCGTGCGTGTGGCACACGCGTGTGGGCCGGAGCCAGCACCCACAGACGCTCACGGCTGTAGACTGAACGTCTGTGCCCCCAAATTCACTGTTGATCCTAAGGCCCCAGGTGATGGTATTAGGAGGCGGGGCCTCTGGGCGGTGAGTAGGCCTCATGACCCAGGTTAGTGTCCCTTATAAAGGACACCGGGGCTCCCTTGCGGCTCCCGTCACGTGGGGGCACAGAGGGCAGGTGACTGACTGTCTATGAACCAGGAATCCTTCGCCAAACACTGAACCTGCCGGCACCTCGACCTCAACCTTCCCGCCTCCAGAACCGTGAGAAAGAAGTTCCTGTGCTCTGTGCTACAGCAGCCCGAACGGGCTCAGACACTCGTGTGTCACAGAAACACGCACACACACCACAAACCTACAGGGACTCGGACCACCTTGCATTTCCCCCGACCCAAGTGCAAGGAGTAATTATCTGAGCATCTGTGTGCCGTCTGCCCTCCTAAACTCCAAGTCCCAGAGAGGACGGAGCTGCGTGGTTCCCGCAGCGCCCACACTGCCTGGAGGCCCTTGGGGTTTGGGGAATGAATGAATGATACTCAGACAGACACAGGCATGGCCAGCGCCCACACTGCCTGGAGACCCTTGGGGTTTGGGGAATGAATGAATGATACTCAGGCAGGCACAAGCATGGCCAGCGCCCTGGGTGCGGCCGCAGGGCGTCCAGAAAGCCTCTCATCTACACATCTCAGTCCCCCGGCCATGCCTGTCAATCAGACCAGCTGTGAGGGGAACGGAGCTCTGAAGGGCTAAGAGACTTGCCCAAGCCCCCCCTCTCTCCCCCCAGCTGGGAATCAGAGGGAGAGGGGCTTGGATCCATTTTTCTGGATTCTAACTTCTCTCTCCTACTCCAAGGGGCCCCCAGCAAATGCAGATGCGCCCACACGGCCTGAGAGGTGAGCAGCGGTGCTGTCTCACACCGAGGGAGATAACGACATCTGCCCACACCCACCGTGACCCACACACACTCATGCGCCAGAGGCGGAGATGGTCAACTCCGGGCGGGGTGCACAGGCTCTGGGCAGGAAGCCGGTCAGTGGGCTAGAGGGTCAAGGGCTGTACCCCGAACTTTACTTCTTAGCACAGGCAGCCCATGGGCCCTCCAAGCCCCTCGATGAAAGCCGCTCTCGTCCGAGCTCAAAGCCTTCAACCTGGGCTCCCTCAATAGTGCTGGTCCATCACAGGTCACACCTCCCACATGCAGGGGGAGGAGGGGGGCCTGCTGGGGAGACACTCAACCTCCCCTGGCCTGAGTCTCGTGGGGGACAAGGTGGTCTCCTCTCCCCTCAGGACCCGTCCTGCTCCCAGGCCCAGCTCCCAGGTGTTAGATGATCCCCCTCCAATCCCAGTCAGGGCAGCAGAAGATGTCCCTGTTCTTGGACCAACTTCCAAAAACCTTAACATCTAACCCTTAGTCCAACCACAGGTGATGGCATCACCTCCCACTGGTGGGGAGCTTCCCTTTACTCCGCGTCTTCGTGTAAAGTCGGTGGAGTATGGAGCACCGCCTATTTTGCAAATGAGGAACTGAGGCCCAAGAAGGTGAAGTTCCTTGGCTGGGTTCAGAGCTTATAGGGCCAAGTTAGTTCAGAGCTCTTCGCAGGCACTGGATTGAGATCGCATCACCGAGCCCTGCTCTCTCTCAGAGATGAAGAAACTGGGGCCCAGGGAGGCCCAGCAAGTAGAGGCAATATTGGACCTGGCCTCAGGGTCTGCCTTCTGGGCTTATACTCCTTTCAGAACCCCAAGAAACCCACCCACGGCTCCAGCCCCTAAGGAGAGAGTATCATTCAACCAACCTTGGGCCACGAAGTCAATCCTTTCCCTCCGACCAGAGGGCTCTGGGTGGGACCGCTGAGAAGCACCACCCCGTCTGCCAGAAGTTGTATCCAGTGAGGGATGGTAGGCCCAGCTTCCCGGGGGGAGGATGCTGCTGCTGCTGCTGCTGCTGCTGCCGCCCCCAAACTCCCGAGTGTCTCAGAGATGCTCGGTCACAGGCATATATAGCTGAGCTCACGGCCCCCGAGCCGCCCACTTCGCCACCCTGTCCCTTCCCATCTCAGGCTGCTTCCCGCTCAGTGGAGATAGGAGGCTTACCTCAGCCACCATGGAAAACAGTTTCGCCCGACAACTTCCTCATTACACTCAAACCCAACCAGAAACCAGCGCTCAGAACACAGCCCTGCCTGGCCAGAGGCCAATCCTCGGAGTGAAAAACAAGCGCTTATAGGAAGCACAGGTCACGGGGAAGCAGGAGGCCGCGGTTCTATCACCGCCACACCCCCCTCTGAAGCACCCCAAAGAAAGAAGGATCTGAGAGAAAGGCCGCTGGATGGAACACATACATTCTTTGACCTGGAGATGGAACTCAGAAGAAGGAGTTGATAAGGGGCAAGTTTCCCAAATCCACTCTCCTAAAAATCAATGGGAAAAATATCCTCTGGTGAGGATTAACCAAACCCTGCCTCCTCTTGTTTATATGATATAAATACAGATCGATGTATTATATTCGAAAGAAAAGAAGAATATGTACCGAGAGCCAGGCTCTTTCTAAGTCCCGTCATGGCTCTTGGGCTAATACATCCTGAGTGTGGTGGCCACTGGGCGCCTTCTCTCCCCGGGCAGAGGGGCCGCCTGGCCCTGTCCTCCGTGCCCATCAAAGACCACGCCTGGCGGGGATCTGTGGAGACACACGTGGCCTGTGGCCAGGGCCGGCTGCGTGATGTGTGCAGCCCGGGGCCACACAAAACGAAGGGCCCTTTTCAGAAGGTGTGAAGACTTTCAAGGCAGCAGCGGAGCACGAAACCAGGTGCAGGCCCTGCTGAGCACGGGGCACAGCTTCTACAGGTCCCCGGGCCGCCAGGGCGTGGACGGATGGTTCCCAACCAGGTCGGTGGGAAAGGCCACAGAAGGACGACAGGAAGATTGAAAGAAACATCTTTTTTAAAACGTTAACTTAAGCATGACATACAAAAGTGCACAAGTCGTAAGCACACAGCCTGGTGGATTCCCACAAAGGGAATACATAAACCCGCGTCCCTGGCGCCCGCGCACCACAGACCCAGCGCTCCTCGCCGCCCCGCTGTCCTGGCTTCTGAACTCGGGGATTATTGTTCCCATTTCGGGTTGTATACAGATGGGAATCGGACTGTTTTCTTCCATGTCTGCCCCCCCTCCCCCCACTATATTTCATGTTTATGAGATCCGCCATGCCGCTGTCGTTGTAATTCTCAGATGACAATACCAACTGTAGGAGGGGATGTGGGGCGACAGAATGCCCCCCGCTAGTGGGCGTGCAGGGGGCGCAGACACGCTGGAAGAGGGAATGGCAACATCTGCTGAGGCTGAGCAGACACCCACCCACCAGCCAGCCTTTCACTCCTGGATACACACAGACCGAAACGCACGCGCACGCCCCCAAAACAACGTTTATGGGAGCAGTCGATCAGCACTGTTTATAATAGCCCCAAACCCAGACACTCGAAACTACTCAAATGGCCAGTAATGACACCTTGAGCAAACGGTGGTATGTTCACAAAATGGAGAAGTTTTTTCCCTCAGAGTCTGTCTGTTTATTTAGAAAGACTGATCACCCTCTTGGGTGCCCTGGGTGTGCCACATGGGGACACAGAGGATAAACTTGGTCTTGAGTGGACATGAAGGCGTCAGTTTAAGAGAAGGCCCCGTCTAATGGCCAGTAACGACACCTGTCAGTGATACAACCGAGAGAGGGAGAATTTTCCCAAGAGACACTCGACCCCTCTGAGGTCGGAGCCCACTTCCCAGAAGTCTGCCTGCGCTCCAGCACGATCATTTGCATTATGGAAATTAGCACACCTCTTCGGGAGCAAAGAGCAAGTAGAAGAGGCCTCCTTCCCAGGGCCACACCCTCTGCTTGGAATCCACCAATTCAAGGTCCAGCCCCCACCCTGTGTGCGGCTTCCCACCAGCTGGGCCGCCGGGAGAGCTGTC